AAAAAAAAAAATCCCCAATACCACCTACAAAAACAGAACAAAACAAAGAACAAGCATGAAAAGCCAAAGAATGAGAGGGAAAGTCACTGCCATTTGAACATCACCTGGAAAGTGATGTCTCTCACCTCCCCCTGCACTCTGCTGGTTGATGAAGGTGCCTCTGCAGCCTGCTCGTGGGGCAGGGATTGTACGGGCTGTGAGCATAAGGAAGTGGACCGATGGGGCCATTGGCCAGGTGGCCTGTCACACCGAGGCTCATAGTAAGGGGAGAGCAGGCCCCATACCCAAAGATCCCTGTATTTGTTCACCGTGTACCTGTGAAGCTGCAGGCCAGAATGGGGTCCGTAGCCTGTGCTGAGGACTGGGTGTTTTGGTCCAAGGAAGCTGTCTCCCATAACCACTTGGGTGAATGGTGAAAGGACATGAAGTAGAGGGAGAAGCTCCATTGCGTGGTCAGGAACCAGGCCTTTTCCTGGGCGGCCTCCCACTTCCTGTGTGCTGTGTTATTTTAAATTCTGTTCTCACATCCTTTTGTTTTTTGGAGTTTTTTTTGTTTTTTGTTTTTACTCAGTTTTTGTGTCTATAAATAGTGTTCATTTTGGGGACTTAGATGCCCTACTGACATTAAGGTCATCTTTTAAATCCTCACCCGTAGTTATTTAAAAATGAAACATAGCAGGGCATGGTAGTGCCCACCTGTACTCATAGCACTCAGGAGGCTGAGACAGGAGGATGGCCATAAGTTCAAGGTTTGCCTGGCCTACATAGTGAGTTCAAGGTCAGCCTGAACTACCTAGCGAGAAGCAAAAACAAAAAAAGACTTGCAAGGGGCTGGGGATTTAGCTCAGCGGCAAAGCCTGCCTTGCAAGCGCAAGGTCATGAGTTCGGTTGCCGGTACCAGAGAAAAACCAAAAAAAAAAAAAAAAAAAAAGACTTGCAAATGAAAGACTTGCAAATCTTTAAACCTGGGCTCAGGCTGTTCATAGCAAGGGTTCCTTTCCTCTGGGAGTTGTTGTTGGTTGGTGAGCTTGTCTTTTTTTAACTTAGAATAAATCCCTTGGGAGTTTTTAAGTTCTAAAGATACAAATGAGTTCTAATTAACAGGTAAAATAACCTTGACTGCCCACACCAATTAGGGTAGCTGATAAACACAGAAAAACCTGGAAGATACTAAGTGTTGGCAAGGTCGGGAAGTGGTGGCAAGCCGGGAGCCCGAGTACTGCTGGGAGAAGCGTGACGTGGTGCGGCTGCTATGGAGAACAGGATGGCAGTTTCTCATGAAGACTAAAAATAAAATTACCGTATGATTCAACAGTTCCCCTTCTGGGTCCATACTGAAAAGATTCGAAGCAGTGACTTGAGATGTTTGTACATGCATGCTCAGAGCAGCATTATCCACAGCAGCCAAAAAGCAGAAACAACTTAAGTTGTTCACCAGTGGATGAATGGAAACATGAAATTCGGTTTATCCATGTGATCGAATATTGTTCAGCCTTAAAAAGTCATTGTCTCAAAAAAACTAAAAATAGGCTTACCAGATCCAGCAATTCCACGTCTGGGGACGTTCCCAAAAGAACTGAAAGCAGTTACCCGAACAGATATTTATATATCCGTGTCCATAGCCACATTATTCGGAGTAGCCAGCCAAGGGTCCATGGAGAGAGGCTGGGGTAAACAAGTGGGACAGATCACACATTGGGATGTTGTTCATCTTCTAAAGGGAAGGAAGTTCTGGCACGTGCTACAACACGTCGACCCGCAGGCTATTAGGAGAAATGATCCCACAAAGGTAAACACCGCACGACTCCACTTATATGGGGGGTTTATAGTCAAATGTAGAGAGACAGGAAGTAGAATGGTGGGCTGGGATGGACAGAGACACAGGGAGTCAGTGTTTAACGAAGGTGCAGTTTCAGTATTGCAAGTTACAAAGATGGATGTTGGAGAAGCTTGTGCAAGAAGGTGAATATTAATGCCCTGAAATGTACACATCATGATGGTGAAGATGAGCCGGGCGTGGTGGTGCACCAGTGTAATCCCAGGAATGGGGAGGCTGAGGCAGGAGAATCATTGGGAGTTCGAGGCCAGCCTGGGTACAAAGTGAGCTCAAGGCCAGCCTGAACTGCATAGCGAGACCCTGTCTCAAAAAGACAGAAAAAAAAAGATGGTGAAGATGATCAATTTGGCAAGCATTTTTGTGTGATTAAAAACAAAATACTTTGGGGAGCTACAGGAATGCTTGTGTCTCAGGGTACCCAAGGACTTCCCCTAGATTTGGAGAATCAGTAGAAGGATTTTCAGGACGCAGCGTGTAGTCATGCTCAGCTTTATGGGTTGGGATCCAGAGGTCCCCTGAAAGCCCATTGTAATGCAGGCTAGTTGTCAGCTGATGTTATTTGAGGAACTGATTGGATCATGAGGACTCCTAATTTCTTCCAGGGGTGAGTTCATAACCCAGGGGGCTTACTGGGAGGGAGAGTCGAGCGTTTGGCCTTGGCCCTGGCCCTGGCCTTCCCCTGGC